CCCGATACCCGATACCAGTATCGGTATCGGTGCATCCCTAATGTATGACCACATGTAATAATGTGTCATAACTCAAGATTTTAGCAGAGACATCCTCTTTAATTAAAACTTTCTTTTTTGATAAAGTAAAGGTTAAGTTTAAATCAGGTAACACGCTCCCTTTGTTACGCTTCAACATGAGTGTTTCTTCACTCACTATGTATCTGTACACAGCTTTGCATTTAATCATTAGTTAAATTAATCTCTGGCTCTCTTCCTCTGTAAGTCTTTTGTTCTGTCTCCCTTCATCACCAACTGGTCACACAGATAGCCGCCCCTCCCTGAGCCTGGTTCCTGTTAAAAGGGAGTTTTTCCTTCCCACTTTTCACAAACGCTTTCTCATTGGTTGTCTTAATGCTGGGGTTTCTCTGTACTACTGTAGGGTCTTTCCTTACAATATAAAGCGACTTCAGGTAACTGTTGTTGTGATTTCGTACTATAAAAACACAATTATGCTAAATTGTATAGAATAACAACACAGGTAATGTTTTAATGCTGTTTAAATGTTGCAGTTCATCGAGGGGGAGGAGCATGTTATTTTCTATAAACTGGATGAATGTTTTTCTTTACCAATCATGTATTTTTCTCATAAATGTATCTGTTTAAATGGGAATGTGGTTTGGAGGGGGACTGGTCCAAACCTGGATCTCACTCAAACTGGACAGCTGAGGGAAGGGTCGTCTCCTGTCTACTACTGAAAGGAAATGAAGAAACAACTGAGGATAACTAAGTCATTAAATAAATGATAAAAGCTGTGAGTTCAACAGTTGATCTACATTCCTACCCACAGTATGGTCATGAGATAGTGGTTGTTTCATCTTTGGAGAGACGGAGAGTAGCTCTCAGTTCCGGTGGTCCAGGTATCTCAGTAAGATTATTATTCGCCACCTAGGTTTTATGCTAAAATATATGAGGAGAAAACCCCTGGGCTGAACCAGGACAGCCTGGAAAGTTTATGGTTTTGAGCTGGTAAAATATGCCCTGAGCAGCCAAAGGAGACAGTCAGGGAGAGGAAGGTCCAGCCATCTACGCTAAGACCTTTGCCAACACAGCTCAGCAAGGTAGTAAAAATGAGGCTGATGGATAAATAAATGGAAGGGAGTCGGAGATCGACAGATGGATTGCGGCTGCAGTAATGCAGACGCTGCACCGGTCCGTCGTGGTGAAGAGGGAGCTGAGTGTAAAAGCAAAGCTCTCAATTTACCGGTTGATCTACGTCCCTACCCTCACCTATGGCCACGAGCTGTGGGTAGTGACCGAAAGAACAAGATCGCGGAAACAAGCGGCGGAAATGAGCTTCCTCCGAAGGGTGGCTGGCCTCTCCCTTAGAGATAGGGTGAGAAGTTCGGCCATCCGGGTGGGGCTCAGAGTAGAGCCGCTGCTGCTCCACATCGAAAGGAGCCAGCTGAGGTGGTTCAGGCATCTGACAAGGATGCCTCCTGGGTGAGGTGTTCCAGGCATGTCCCACCGGGAGGAGGCCCCGGGGCAGACCCAGGACACGCTGGAGAGATTATATCTCTCGGCTGGCCTGGGAACGCCTTGGTGTTCCCCTGGATAAGCTGGAGGAGGTGGCTGGGGAGAGGGAGGTCTGGGCTTCTTTGCTTAGGCTGCTGCCCCCGCGACCCAGGCTCGGATAAAGCGGATGAAGATGGATGGATGGATGGATAAATAAATGCATTACTTTCTATTGTTGACCTTATGTATCACACTAATGTTTTTAAAGTTCATGGTCACTATTACACATACTTTTGTTCTATGGAGGGACGAGCAGTAATTGTGTTTTGTTTAAAATGTTTCAGTAACACATTTGTAATACCGTACCTTTGTTCTTACCCTTTTCTTGGTTTCACTATCTACATTAATCATATTGCAGTGATTTGACAGGAAGAAGTAATAATTATACTTACATGCAAGTGCACAATTTACTACATTTGACTAGAATGTATGTGTATGTGTATCAATACAATCTAAACACTCATTAAATATCTGCACTATTACTCCCAGTGGATGGTTGCAGTGTGCGTGTAGGTTTGAGTCTGTTTCAGACCTTGGCTTCAGTCTCCCCACGATGCAGCGTATAGAGATGGTGAACGGCACTCTGCGAAGATGCCCACGGGTGGGTGAGGATCTGGAAGACGTGAAAGTCATGTCCCAGGGTGTCAGCAGTTACCAGCAGCATTCCTACAAAGAACACAGTCACAGACATCAGGAATCAGTCCGTTAGCCGGCTTCACTGTAAGCTGATTCTTAATGTGTGCTGTATAAATGGTTCTTATTTTATCGTGCAGCTGCTTGAATGCATGCCTTTTGTTTGTTTTTTTGCTAATGTTCAAATATTGTAATATGCATGGTTTAAAATGCATTTCGCGCTACATTTGTGTCATGTAGCAGCGCCTACCTTTTCAACTGGGCCAAACCCTACAGTGATGACACTAATCGAACAAATTAAGCTTTGGGGGTCAATAGTGCTGTATACTCCACAATGAT